ATGCAATACAGTATTGTTAACTATAGTCACCATGCTGCACATGACATGCCGTGACTTATTTATTTTATAACTAAAAGTTTGTAACCTTTTCCCCATTTCACCAATCTGTTCTCTGTATCTATGAGCCTGTTTTTTTTTAATTCCACTTATAAGTGAGATCATATGATATTTGTCTTTCTCTGTCTGACTAATTTCCCTTAGCATAATGCCCTCATGGTTCATCCATGTTACTGTAAATGGCAAGATTTCATTCTTTTATACAGCTGTATAGTATTCTCCCATACCCTGGTTTTTGATGGTTCTCTTCCCTGGAATACTTTCTCTTTCCTCTTCCGAAGATTAAACTGTTAATTCTTTAAGACCCTTGTCAGAAATTATTTCCTTCAGAACAAATTTTTTCTTGGACTCCACCACATTCTGAACTGAATCTGTGAGCCCCACTTGTGTCATCATGTGGCACTCTGTGACAAGAAAGGAGCTTTGGGACTCCCATGTTAGGAATAAATCCCTTCTGGGACAAGGCCTGCCTAGATGTTACATTTAGGTATTCCCCATGCTCTGTGGAATCTAATTCCACTCTCAAGGAATCTTGTGGAATCTTGTAGGAATCAGATCAGAATTTCCCTGGATCATGAGAGATCCCTGGAGTGGGACAGCTTGTGACTGTCCCTCTTTGTCCATCTCCTCCAACAGCCTGCCACATTTCCTGGTACAGAAGTCAGTCTACGTCTTAGAAGACTTTTCTAAAAGGTTTACTTCACCTGCTGCTTTGATTGCCAATAACCGTCTTTAGCTTCTGGCTTAGGTTAGTGAGAAAAGCAAATTCCCTGTGGGCTCATACTGCTTTTATTGGTTTTCTGTACCTTAGTAAGAATGAGGATCTGAAACAAGCATTCAGAAAGAAAGGGAAAACAGCAGAGCATTCTGAAATTTGCTAACGGCCATCCCCTACTATCCCACCCTCAGAGTTGCAGCCACCGACCCCAGGGTGTGAGCCTAGGGGGACCTGCACCTGGAAACCCACCAGGATTTCTACCAGGCCACAAGTGTAATCCCTACACATTTGCCTTTACTTTCTGCCAAAGCAGTTAGACAGTACCCACTGGAGGTGGACTTGGCTATCTAGCCGCTATTGCCGAGGTCCCATGGCCTCCTCCTTCAGAGATCACATGACAATTACCTCTGCGCCCCACACCGGGCTCTGGACACTTTCAAATGCAGTTTGAACCATCCATTATTGCCTGGAGGATTCGTTGCTTGTGCAGGGTACAGAGGCTAAGATCATAAGGAATGTATCTGCCTCTCTCTGACTCCTTTGTAGGTAATTTAAGATCACTTATTTAAGCAGTATCTGCCTCTTTATGAACAGGACAGAGTTTGTCTATTGCTGGTTTTTACCTTAATGTCTTGTTCAAAATGAAAGTAACTTTGTTTACAGATATTACTTCCTGTCCTTCTTTTGCAGATCCTTATTTCAAGTCCCTTCTGTTGGCAGCTTACTGAAACCAGCATCCAAAATAGCAGAGCCCTCAAAGCAAATATTGTACCCTTAATGGAATGGTCTGGGACCAGAGGCCAGCCTGGGAATTAAGGTTCCAGTGTGATGCTCAGCTTTCTTATACAGGCTGTAATGATCTGAATCAAATCATTTCACCACTGAGTTTCAATTTCTTCCTAAATCAGGAGAATGGTACCTCCCCCCTTCATCCAGGTGCTGATGGAGAGCAGTTGTCAAATGTTCCCAAGGCATTGGCGTTACGCAGTTGCTTTTTCCAGCAGCATCTCTTTCTTGGTAAAGGTTCTCAGGGGCTCAATGCGGCTCAGGTAAAAATTGCCTTTCATCTATTTCTCCCTTGCTTTCCAGATAATCCGTGGCTAAAATTAGCAATGCTTAGTTCAGTAAAAAATATTGTTACAGCAGGCAGCCATGGAAACGGTGTCTGAGCAGCTTCCCCTTCAGGCAGCTGCCTTTTGCGGGATATGCTTTCTCGCTGATTAAATGAAACAGCTTGCTGCTTTTGAAGCTGGGGTTTAAAATCAGTTGAGTACAGGCAAATCTTGCAAGAGAACCATCCTCCTCATTTTTTCCCTTTCTCTTTCCATTAAGGAAAGAAAAATGTCTCTCAAATTAAGTGCCAGATTTTGCTTTTGAATGGAGTATGGGAAGATTAATACGTTGACCCACCATCTTGCATTTGAGGTGTCTTTTCAGTAGCAATAGTGGAGAATGATATTAGTGTTAATTAATGCCTTCCTCCATACCTCATTTTATAGTTTACAAAAAAGCTTTCTTGTGCCCTGCCGCTGAACACTTGTGATAATTCTAGAAGGTAGATAGAGCTTGATGAGGAAATTCCTGATCAGGTGAGGAAATTGAAGCTCAGCCATTCCTGCCCATTTGGCTAGTAACTGGGGAGATGGGATGAGAACTCATGCCTCCACCTCTGATTTCATCGTTCTTTCACACTCCCTGGCCTGTCTCCTTATGCCTGGGGTACCAAATCCAAGTGGCTGAGGCCAGGCTTGTATCTAGTTAAGTCTGCATTTGGCAAACTCTCAGCTTTGCCGTGGTCAGCCTCCTTGACTACCAGGGTCTCGCCTACCTCAGAGAGCAGAGCCCTCCTGATGCCCCCTGGGAAAGAGCTTGTATTTGAACGCCACATTCTGATCTGTCTGCCCTCCCTCCAAAAGACCTTTCCTCTGGGTCCTTGTTTTTCTCCAACTCCACCATCTTAGTTCATCTGTGCTCATCCCTTTCCTTCTGGTCTCTGCTTTCCTGACAAAGATGTCTAAGAAGTTTATTTATCTACATGTGGTTATAGAGCCTAATGAGTAGTGGATCCCAGGACAGGGGCTTTTGCATTTTAACAGACTCTAATTGCTTTGGCTCCAGTACATGACTCCTTCATGCAAGTTTGGCCAACCTGACCAAAGTTAGGAGCCAGACCCCAATGTATTCTACTAGGGCCACAATGGGAATTGAAAGGTGATGATTTTAGGGAGAATGAGGGTAATAAACTATCCCGTGGAAAAGTTTTTCTTTTTTGCTGTTTGGTAGAGCATCCTTAAGAAATTGCAGTTTATGTTATTAAAAGGATTTAATATTATTTTAAACATTACTCTAATTTATCATGCAGGTTTCTGCTCCCTCGATATTCCACTCCCTTCCCCCATCTAAATGCTTCAGTAGCTTCCCAGGAAGCTCTGGAGCCAGAGTGGGGTTTCTGATCACTGCAGCCACCATAGTCACAGGTAGCCAGCTTTCTTCTCGCCCTCTGGTGCCTGACCAGAGCTTCGTCGTTGAATCTATGAACCCACAGGCCATGTGCTACTTTATATGGTAAGGAAAGGGAAGAATTCACCACAGTGGGTTTCCTTGGCTCAGGAAGTATCCAACCCTGCCACACTGAGTTCTGTTTCAAATGATGATTATATTGATGAGCTTTCAAAATGGCGTCATTATCATGTGCTCCTGTGGAAATTCTCTGCCCTCAATAGTGCTGGAGGACAGCGTGAATAGTGAAGTTTCTCCTCATATAGAATGATTCATTCAAAGCTGCAAGAGAAGGTGTGTCAGGCGGGCAATGACGCATAACCCTCACCGTGTAGCATGGGTCAGAGAAAACAACCACACCCATGACTTGTATTTCTCTGTTAGAAGTTGTTTATTCTGAATATATGAGCTTAATGGCTTCTTCCTCCATGAAATCTTCCCTGTGTCTCTTCCACCCTCCACTCTGCTCGCCTCTGGATTCCCAGAGTATCCCACATTCATCTCTAAGGTCTTATCAAACTACATCAGATTTGCCCATATTCTTGGTTTTCTCCTGAGGGGAATAGCTATTTATCTGTAACTCCAATATCTACTGTTAAATCTGTTGAATGAGTCTAGACTAAGGGCTTGCGTGAAAATATAGATGACAAATAGATCTCATTTTCCATATTAATTCTCCTCAGCTGAAAGTGGCTGACTAGAAATAGTGCAGTGGTTGATTGCTAATGCCTGACATGGGCCTGGATGAGGTCCTGGTGCCTTTAGTGTAGTGTTAGGTGAGTGATGTCATCTCTGAATTAAAAAATGCATAGCACATCAAGAACTTTTGCATGCTGTGATTATTTCATATCTGCCCTAATTAAGAAAATGTTATTTTTAAACGCCAGGTTGCACAGCTATAGATTCAGAAGCCCACTCTGATTAGGTTTTCACCTTTTTTTCTCTATTCCTAGTAGAGAGGTTCTTAAGTGTCTATAACCAGAGTCATATGGGCTAAATTCTTGAGAATGAGAGCACATCCACACAATACACTTTTTGAAAATTTTTGCCTCTTCAGTTGAAGTATTGTGAAATGGGAGAAAATATCTATTTGATTGTATGTTACCATATATCTGGTAGGTGTCTGCCAAAAACTGTTATCTTAAGAACATCTAACAATTCTTTCAACTGAAATGTATATATAATTGACTTATATAAGCAGAAAATGACAATTTTTCTCATTTAAAAAATAATAAATCATTACTGATGACCCCAATAAGGACTAAATTGTAATCACAGCATTTATAAAATATAAAATTGATATTTTTAAATATAAACTTAAAAAATTTTTGAATATACAAAGTAAATATGCAAAGGAACGTGGAAGATTCAAATTCTGAGGTGAAATAGTGTGGTTCGAATGGTGAGCAATCTTAGCCTGTGTGAAAAATGAATAGTTAAATTTACTGTCCTTGATGTACCAGTGCTCACCCTCTTCAGAACCTCCAGGAGACATCTGTGTTAGGCCAAATTTAATATTCATTCTTTTCATTGGCTGTGGCAGAGACAGCTAGTGATCCCCTTTTAGTAATAGAACCCTGAAGTTTCCACTGGGCATATGCATTTTCCAGCTTCCTTTTCAGCTAAGTGTGGCCACATGACTAAGTTATGACTGGTGCATTATGAAGAGAAGTGAATTTTGTAACTACCAGTTGTTTCTTCCACTTTCTTTCCTCTTTTCCACTAGCTGAGGTGAAGACTCGAAAGTGGGAACTAGAGAAGTCATCTTGGACCAAAGCTGGAAGCCACATGTTGAAGATAGCAAATTGCTGACAGAGTCCCTGATATTATGGAGCTTCCTCGTCAGTCCTGGCCTGCCTTTGCTCAGATTATTGTGTGAGAAAGGCATAAACTCTCTTATGTAAGCCACCAGTATTTTGACTTTGGTTCTATCCTATCTCTTACAGTGGCTTCTTTTTGTCACTCTTCCTGATAAGAATGCTGAACTCATGATGTGTTTGTACTGGAGTAGGATCAGCTTTGGAAGACTACACTGGAGGAACAGAGAGGAACAGGCATTTCCCAAATCACTAAGACCAAGGAACACATACACACAGGTAGTTAGGTGCAATCTCCTGTCTCTCTTCTCACACATTGGGCTGAGGTGGTTGAGATTAAAGGCTTTGCTGTAAGATACACCTGGGCTTGAGTCCTTAGTTTTCTTTGGAATCTGTCTCTTTTGGGTCTGACTTCCTTGGCTGTGGCAGATTGTTGGTGTATTAGTCAGAGTTCTCCCCTTACTAGGGGAGATAGAAGAAGAGATTTATTACAGGAATTGGCTCACACAGTTATGGAGGCCAAAAAATCCCACAATCTGCAAGCTGGAAACCCAGGAAAGCCAGTGATGTAATTCAGTCCGAATCCCAAGGCCTGAGAACCAGGGCAGCTGATGGCATAGCTTTCAGGCCAAGGCTGATCCAAGAACCAGGAGCTCGTCCGAGAACAAGAGAACATAGATATCCCAGCTCAAGAAGAGAGAGAATTCGCCCTCTCTTTGCCTTTTTATTCCATTCAGGCCCCCAATGGATTGGATGATGCCTGCATACAAAGAGCGGATCTTTTTACTCAGTCTACTGAATCAAATGCTAATCTCTTCTAGAAACATTCTCACAGACATACCCAGAAATAATGTTTTATCAGCTGTGTGGGCATCCCTTAGCCTAGTCACAAGTCCATCCCTTGCTAATTCAACACCTAGACACATCCCCAATGTGTATTAAGTATTAAACCATATTTAATCTCCAAGTAAAGTTTGATTTCACAGTGGTCAAGTCATCCATCTATTTAGCAACACTGTATTGAAAACCTCCTACGTGTGAAGTGCTGTCGCTAGCGCTGGCCTGCAATTGTGAACAAGAATTTAGGACAGTCCCTGTCTTCAAGGAACTTACTATATCTAGTACTAAGACAACCAAATAGTCCATTATAACTGAGCTTGATAAAGGCTCTGATACAAGAAGTACATAACATAGACTTGTGTGTATAGAGGCACAGAGAAGAAACAGAGATTGCATGGTCATTGACGATAGTTAAGGTTGAAGTAGTAGTTACAGTAGATAATACATATATAGTGCTTAGTATGTATCTGACATTGCTCTAAACAGTTTAGATATATTAACTCATTTCATTCTCATGGCAAACTTTCTGGCTTCTCAGTACAGTACTGGTCCCACTACAACCAGCTGTCTTTCAGGATGGAGAGAAATCCACCTTGTCCATTAAAAAAAGTTACTCTTATTCCACTGTCCACAATACAGAGATCTGGATTGTGTAAAAGTTATTTTTGAACCAATGTTCTACCAAATACTTGCTGAGCCACACCCATTTTATTTGGAAGCCAACTTAACCATGGGTATCCCATTGGCATCCCATGGGTGAAAGATTAAGTGGAACCAGGTCCTATAATCATTCTGAATTCCTGGGCTATCAAGAATTTAAAGCCATAATTGTGGAATCACTTTATAAAAATAAGATGTTGGAATTTAATTCTATGTCCTCTTATATTCTCTGAATTGTAAAATGAGGGTTGATATAAACTAGTTATTCTCATTTCATGTCTATCTCAATACTAAAATTAGTATCTCAATACTAAAATTACAATTCCTGCATCAGTTTTCACTTGCTCCTCAAAATAAAATCACAACTATGGCTTTGACAACTTGGTAACATAGGCCAGGCTCCTGTAGTCTCCTCCTTACTATTGTTTGGATAATGCTATTAAAGTCCAACACACAACCCAGTGCTTCCTTTTCTTCATTCTGAAGAGTATCAGGAAGTGCTTCATACCCAAAGCAGATGGACTTTCCTTGGTGTGTACAACACTTACTACACTCTCAACTCTTCTAAATTGTCAACATAAGAATTGTCCACATGAGCATCATTTTTTCAAAGCTGTAATTAAAGACTTAAACAAGGACCCATGTGATAAATTCCCCCATTGATTTGTTTTGAAGAGAAATAAAATGGTTTCACTCCTCTGGAAAATGCTGGAACATTTTAACTTAATGTATTTCACTCACTTGCCTAGGTGCTATGCTAAGAAACTAGCATTCAGTTATGGCATTTTAATTATTGCTTCTGCCTGGTAACCTCTACCCTCTTTCTTCTCTTTCATATGTATTCCTCTTCTATATCTTTTATATGTTTCTAACTCACCTCAAACTCCTTGTCAGCAGATAGAGTGTAAAGATCAAACAGTGTTTTATATTTGGGATTTCTCAGCTCCTTATGCTTACTACAGTTGATTCTTGGGGTCTTGAGCATACCTGAGTTCTTTTTTGTCTTACAGTGGTCCTTATCCTTTCTGAAAAGATAGTCTGATGGGAGACTCATCTGCGATGGTGACTCTCTACCCAAATATCCCAGAAGCTCAGCCACCAATTGCCTGTGGAGAATTTGTCTTCCTTATGGACCACTCAAGAAGTGTGCAGGGCTCCATGAGTAAACAGGATAAATCTCAGCTGCGCATAGGGGCAGCCAATGTAGAACTAGTTTCTTTTCCTGGTCACATGCTCAAGTGAGGATGAATCTCAGGGATTAAATCAGAGCCCATCCTGAGCTGTGGGTCCGTTCCCCATCTGAACTACAGCTAACATGACCACCTGAGGCTAGCTTGGAACATCAGGGCCTGGAGCCATGAAGGAGGTGAAGGCCCAAACTTTCCAGAATGAGATTGGCAGGATCTGTGTGTCTGAGAGGATCCTCTCTCACTCTGTCTCCTCATACTCTCTTCCTTCAGGAAACACTGCTTTTACTGCTGAAGAGTTTGCCTATAGGCTGTTATTTCACTGTGGATTTGTATCTTCCCATAAGATATTCATTCAGTAAGTTTCTAGAAAGGCCATAGAGAATCCAAAAAGATGCTTTAAAGAAAAGACTAGCTTGTTAAAGGGATTACTCCAGAATTGACTTTGGCATCCAGGGTTTTAGGTAAGTCTGTTTATCACGAGTGTGTCACAATTCAGGGACTCAATACTGGGCAATGTCGAGTAGCTGTCATGTCACTGAGTTTGTTTTTCTCAGGAATAGTGTGAATTACAGTCAGTATACCATGGAGGAAGCACTGAGGAGAGTTAAGTTTATGTGGGCTGATCTACGGGGCACAGAAACCTTGACACCACTCCAGACCATTTACAGGGGCCTTCCATTCCGGGTCACCCATTATAGGTAAGAATTGGAACACAGCTAACAGAAAAGGACAGAGAGAATGATATCTATTCCAGAATCCATAGCCCTGAGCTTCGTTTCAGGATTCTTGACATATGGTATGTAATTCAGAGTCTTCCATCATATAGTAAAGAGAAAAAGAGAAGAAGCATTTCATAGAATTCTTCTTCCTTAGCTCCATGCTATAAACGATAGAAGTTCTTTTCCCAGGTGCTATGAAAGCCTTAGATGAAGCTAGTAGGAGAAGGTGCTGAAAATTCCCAGGGTTCTGAACAGACCATGTGAGAACATGGTGCAAGTGACAGTGGAATATTAGGGGTCTCGTGCCTGTCTGAAGAGGTATAAAGGGTCTCTGGAAAGAAATAGTTTGGTTTTTCAAGGGCAATATCTCATTGATACTCCTGCCTTAATTCTCAGGCCATGGTTATGAAAGACCTTGTAGCTCCATTTAGTGCTCTGGAATTTATTCTGAGGGCAATCGAAATCCATTCAAGTGTCTGAACTAGGTAAATAACATGAGATTTCTGTTGTGTACAGGTCATTCTAGAAGCGTTGTGGGAAAGGATTGGAACAAGAGAAGACTAGAGACAGACAGTCCAGCTAGGAGGTTAGAGGCATCTGGTTGGTAGATAACACCTAGTTTATGCCCTCAACAATGGAAGAGTGTGCAGATACCACCCCTTACTAGAAGGATTTATGATAGTATCTGATCAAGAGTATATGTGGAGTTGAGAGAGGATGCAAAACGCTTCTTTACTTTTCTTTGCTTACGTAGTTCATCTCCACCTCTATTGGAGACAGGAATCCTTTTTCCTTCGGTCCCCTTCTCTCTTGCCATGTTCCCATGAGGTAATGTGGGGGAATGCAAGTGGTTATACCCAGGGCAATAGGCATGTAATGGCCAGTGAACAGAGAAGAGAGGATGCAGGTGCCATGTCATGAGGAGACACTGAAGGCGGATCTGGAGTTTCAGTATTAAGGTCAAGAAGGGGCCAAGTGCAAAGGGAAGAAGGAGGTCATTGTGTAGAGGCCAGTCTCTGCTCAAGTGGGAGAGATAGTGATTCCTGTGACCCAGAAAGGATGTAGGGCAAGCTTCTAGAGAGCAGCTGGTTGGTGTTGCAAGCTGAGGACAGCCACACAGGCCAGACAATCCAGCCAGCAGTGAGGCGACAGTTACTAGGTGCAAGATGAGAAGCATAACAAAGGCAAGACGTGAATAGAAGGTGAACCCACCTGAGCCCTGTGGTGAGTTGAAGGAATATCCCACCTGCAGGGTCAGAGTTTTTCTCCTACCCTTGTTTTAAATCTGCTCCAGTGCACAGAGACTCAGGCTGTCAAGGAACTGGACACCTCATGTCAAACTCAGAGATATCTCCTCCCTATAGACCCCTTGCCAGCACTATTCCCCTTGGTCTCCTTCTCACCTTCAAATGCACTTCTGCCCCAGTTCTGTCCATACCTGACAAGCAAGCTCATTCAGTCATTTCTTCCTTTCTTTTGTTTGATTTCTACCAGACCTGTGAGGATTCTCCCGATTTCTCTGGCTGTCAGCTCCGCTTACATTAGAATGGCTTAACAGAGATCATGAGAGAGAGAAAAAGAAATTTTGGAATAACATAGGTATTAAGGGAATTAAGTAGCCCAGGTAGGATTACGAATTTCATAATGCCTTGGACTGGACTTACCTCACAGGAAAATAGTCATGTATCAACATCCACAGGTTTTGAAGCTACAGGGGAAATATTTGAAAATCGTTATGCTCAGATATTTGACCACTGTATCTGAGCATCTAATGGAAGAGTTTCTCTGCACCATCTGTCTGACTCTGGAAAAGCACAAGTGAGGTTTGAGATATTGGATCAGCATTACAAAAGTTTGACAGAATTGATTCTAGTCTACTGAATAGCAAGTAGCACTGGCCCACAGATTTCTTAGAACTTGACTGATACACATCTATGCCTTCTTTGTTTCAGAAACAGATTTTATTGTTCACTAAATCTTAGATTGAGAGTCTTACATACACAGCCTTGTTTGTGCAAGTCAGTGAGTAAATGAGAGTGAATTTTTCCTCTCATCAGCATGACCAGTACAGACCTGAGCAAG